TGACGTGCAGCAACGGACACACTCAGGTGCAGGGCAGTTCCTGAGGGCTCTCCCTGCCGAGCCCTGGCCAGTGGGTTGCCACGCTGCCCACATCCTCGCCTCGCTCGTCTCGCAGGTGACGTGACGTTCCAGTGTGGTGACATGAAGCTGATCGCCCCTGAGAAACGTGTTAATTGTCGCTTCCCCAGTAGCACCCTCAGCCACCCGCTTAGAGCATAAGTCTTGTCCAGCAGGTGACCGGTCGTGCTCTTGGGGCCAGCCCTGTACAGTCTGTTTACAGTAAATGCTGTGGGAAGAGGCTGCTAGTAAGAGCCATAAGCCACATAAAAGAAGATCACTACGTAAACAAGAAATGAATCACCGTTATGAGTAAGATATACAGGGCAGCATGTGAACTCTGGTTTCTTTTGCATACTGGGGTGGGAATTTTTTGGTTATTCCTGTGCTGGAATTCCCAGACTTTCATTCATGTATTTTTTTTAAACTATTGAATATTTAACTGCATGTCGGAAATGCTTTGACATTGCTTTTCAGTCTGCTTTAGTGAAGAACAGTGGGCAAGAGGATTTTCCTGATCTGTATTTTGTGGAAATTTTTTCCAGTTCTGGTCCCTCTATGATTAGTAATTGAGGAATATATTTAGATAGAAATAATCCTGAACTTGTGCCACTTAGAGATTAAGAGAAATCAGTCCTATTTCTCTCTAAGCTTCTTGTCAAGTATTGAAGAAAACACTGTGATACAGATAAGCAGCTTTGCTACAGGTTTCACTTTTCAACTAAAATACCTTTCTAAAGTTAGTATCTGCTGATATTATATTTTCCTATGTTTTGCCTACATTTTCCCTATGCTTTTGATTCAGTTTCCACATTTCACCTTGCCTTCATGAACACTATTCCTTGGCAGCTTAGTCTGATACTTAGTGAAATCGCTCCTCTGGTCACATTCAGCCTGGCAAGCCAAAGCTTCATGTCAGGGCAGGTACACGCAGCTAATCATGGGTATTGTCTTTACAGTATAGTCTGGATGCAAATGCCGCTTCAGTGACACTTAGCAGGAATTGAAGGTGGGAGAATAATTCTTATTGTCAGTCTCTGGCAGGATGTATGTGCTAGTGTACTGTTAGTTATATGTTATTAATGACAGACATTGGGAATCATTAACCAAATGTCAGATAAGCAATTCCTTCTGTATGCAGAAAAGCATTGTGTAAGGTTTTTATCCCATTTTCAGACTGTAAATAATTAAAGTAGTGGCTCTTTTTTCCAATCCATCGTTCCTTATAGTTCAGGTTTTATAGCAATCACCTTTTCCCCTTTTACTATCTGAGTCTCCTATTTCTCTCTTTACAAATCTTCTTAATTAACCTGCCAGCTTTCTTCGAGATGCTGAGTAGCAGAGTACTGTTTTGCTAAATTTAGAAATATTCAAAAAGCTTACAAACTACCCCTTGAATTCTTGGAGGTATTTTTTTCCATAATAGGAGCTCATTCACATGTGAGTTTACCTTGTTCATTGCAAATTGATTTCAATTGCTTCAAGTTATGTCATATGTTAGGCTCATTGTTTAAATCATGACTTTTAGACATGGATTTATGAGTAGGATCAGAGAAGTTATCTGGCATTTAGATTTGTGGTTTACGTTACTTTCAGAAACTGTGACCATGTCCTTGATTCACCAGAGTGGTAACAATTAGAACTTAAGAAAATGGACGGTTGCAAAGGAGTTAATGTTTTTCTCAGGCTGCTCTCATCTCTCAAACTGTGGGATAGTCTTAGCTAGTACAAGTGAGTTCTCGTGTGTCCTTAAACATGGATGACTTTGTCCATCTGCCTCATATAAATTTTCAATATGTTCCAACAAATGCCACTGCTGCCCCTGGTACAGCGTACTGCTCTGCAGCTGAAGGAAATTGTTTCATCCCTCTTATTAAAACTTTGCCTTTAACTTGTAATCCTCCTGCATGATGCTTATTTTGCAGTGATTTTTCTTCCTTAAAACCACTGTATACAATAGTTCAAAATTACATAAATCTCTAGTTGTGGGACAGAGGAAAACTTGATAGCGCACTCTCAATCTGTTAATTAATCTCGCCTATCTCCTAGTGTGGAGGGCGGTGGTACCCAGGCAGATGTACGTGCTTGCTCAGTTGCAAGTCAGAGCTCTTCCTGACTAGGGAGTACAACCCTTTCACTGTGACATTTAAGACTTAACTGTTAGGGTGTATGTTGCCCAGATCACAAAGTAAAAAAGGAGGAGGTAAAAAAAAAAAAAAAAGAGGATTGCAGCAACTGGGTGATCCCTGTGTTCTTTGTTGGTTTGTAGGGAAGTTGATGGCTATTTCTCATTTACCTTTCTGATCTCAAAGTCACCCAGGATTTTCAGATCTATCGAATAATACTCTGCATAGAAAAACAAGATACTAACTTCCCTGACTCTTATTTAAGAAGGCCCTTTGTACTAAAATTTCCTTTTCGTCACTGACGCTGGTGTTAAGAGTGTGCGGGAACATGACAGAGGAGGAGTTAGTGAACCCTGCTGACGTCCAGCACCAAAAATAAAATGTTTTGTGTATGCAGCCAAAACATTGCTCATGTCAGGAAAGACTGTGCCACGTACTTTATGAAGTAAATATGGTAATCTCTGTGTCACTTACGTATATGTAGAATTATTGAACTGAATTTTTGTTTCTTTTCTGCGATATTTGATGCTGAACAATGTACAGTGTGTGATGAATTGCATACAACTGGATGAGTTGAACTTTATTTTTCCCCTTTGCTAGTTTTAATATTTCAAAACATCTCCACTTCCAGAAAAGTGGAAAAATAGCAAAAGAATTTGTGATACACTGGAAAAGTGCGTATATTCAAATGTTATTAAAAAGAAAATTGAAGATGAGTGACAGGAAACAGAAGTGAACAGGAGAGAGAGGTTTTGAAGATTTGTCATGTGGGTAAAGAGGAATGAATAGGAAAAGTCTCAAAATATGGAAATGCCTTTTTTGGGGGGATTTTTGTTTTTTCTTTAAAAAAAAATTAATAATAATCTTGGCATCTTCGAGTGTTCTACTCGTTTTTTCTTTTTAATAACTAAATGTCTTTTGACTTCTAGAGGCAAAGATTTCTGTTTAATAAACCAGTTGTCAGACATTTGATGGATAGTGGTAGTGTACTGTAGGTCTAATTACAATTATAATACTGTGGAAGTGGCCAGCCAATCCATTCGCTTCTCGTGGGCTCTACCTAATTGTGCCTTACAGGTTTCCTTGCTTGGAACAAGGAACATTATAGCAGGTGACCCTCAGCACTGGCTGACAGCGCTTGGGTTATTTTAAGAGAACAAATATATCTGTGTATGATAGCTGAAGGCTATGACACCAAAAAGAAAGCCCAAGAATTATGCACAGGTACCTCTTATTTGCTTTTTTAATACATGTACATGCACACATTTTTAATATATGTGGTTATTTGTATGTATAAAAATAAGGAGATCTTTCCTTCAGTATACATCCCTCATGGAAGATACTGTAGTGGAGTAATTATCTTGTCACTGGTTAAGTTGCAATCTGGTCAGAAATATTGAAACACTATTTTCAAATTGTGTGAAGAGTGTAAGGAGGTGCCCAGGACACAATGTCTTCCCAGTGAGCTCTGTAGTTCCTGGGCAGGAGGACTACTTTGGTTTGGCTGGGAGGAAATACATGATTCGTATTCCAGGTGAATATAGTATGGAAGATAATTTTTACAGTTTTGACTGAAAAATACATTACCAGAAAACTCAGTTTCTTCTGAAAGCAAATGGTTCTGCCAAATGAAGACCATTTTATTTCTTCTGTAAAATAAAGAAATAATGAGTTGATATAAACTATACCTTTTGAAAAAGGCAAACAGCTTTAGTCAGTCATGAAACTTAGTTAAGGAAATTGTCATATTCCTTCTATGGCAAGAGGTTCACCATCATCGATTCTATCCTGCTACAAGCAAGTTCACTTTGTTTTAATATTTTGCTATTCTTGTCTTTCTTTTCTGATGATTTATCGCTAATGATTACTCAGTTTTGAGTAATGAGAGGGGCTTATTTTCAAATGGTGGTACTTTTAGAAGCTATGGATAATGAGATGCAAGTTCCGCTTTTGAAAGTATGATATGATATTGGCATGACCATTCCAGTGAAGACCTTCTAGTGTCTCCTCAGGGCTAGAGGAAAGCTGTTGAATTTATAAGGGCTGTGTTTTCTGATCTGTGGAAAAGAACAACAAAGTCTGATTGCACAGATAAACTGACATGCACTAATTGAATATATATCCATAGACTAAAGTACTTCATTCAATGGTCTAACAGGTTTTTGTATGGTATAGAGAATCTCAGAAGCTATGCTTTGTATCTTTAAAAAAAAAAATCCTTACCAAATTATTTTATAGTAGCACAAATCTGTGATACCATATTTCTACTGAAATGATCCGACTAACCTCGTTAATACCTTCAACACTTTTCTGATTGTGAGCATATAATGCATAGAGAGTATTCTTGGAAACTAACATATCTAAGTGAAAGTATGTCATGTTGCTGTGATTTCTTTGGTTGAAGATGAGCTCATTATTTCTTCACTCTTTAGGCTGCTGTCATATGAGCTTTGTTACTGTGGCTATTCTTGTCTGATAGATGGTCTTGGATGTTTTGCTTTCTGTTGCGTTCTGGCTTATAAATGTTATTTGATGGTGTGTAGTTAACTCTGAATTTTGTTGCAAGTCATTCATGCTTTTTTTTTTTTTAAATGTACGGAACACTAAGGTGGCTGCAGTGGTAGAGCAATGTAGTAAAAGATTTATTGAGTCCATTTTAGGCTTCTGTAGGAACATTTTTGCACTAAGGTTTTTCCATTTAATGTTTGACTGAGTAACCTGCCTGCTGTCTTATTTTAACAGTTTCTTTGTTTTCTTCTTTACGATAGATCTCTGAACAACAACTTTTTCACATAAATTGACAAAAGCGGAGAAGAGATGGCTAGTTCAGCCCGAGAACATCTGCTTTTTGTGCGACGTCGCAACCCACAGCTACGGTATACTCTGAGCCCAGAGAATCTGCAGAGTTTGGCATCTCAGGGCACCATGGCTGAGAACATGAACTTGCAGCGTGCCAACAGTGACACTGATTTAGTGACCTCGGATAGCAGGTCTAGTTTGACAGCAAGTATGTATGAATACACCTTGGGGCAATCTCAGAACCTTATAATTTTCTGGGATATTAAGGAAGAAGTGGACCCAACTGACTGGATAGGACTTTATCACATAGGTAAGTCAGAACCACATTGTAATATTTCTGTGTGTTTCTTGCTCTTTTGCCACTTCATCTTTCCTTTTCTGATATGTGTTCTGGCACACTTCATAATTAATCTAAAGATAAAATTGAAGACTGCAGAGAATTACCTTGGATTTTTCATTGCTTTTCTTAGTGCAGTGAACTATGTAAAACCACGATTTTAATTAATGTAGATCTGGTTGTACAGTGACCTGCTAGAAGGTGAAATGCATTCTTCTTAAACAACAAATGTCCATGTGGTTTCCTGTTTCACCACTGCTGGTGACTGGCTTACAGACTGCAAAATTCAGAGTACCGTATTCATCGTGTAATCTGACATGCTTACTGTCCAATGTTTTTACAGTGTTTTGGACAAGTAAATTCTTAACATGTGTGAAAAAAGTATTTTAAGTCTCTAATTTTGTAGACCTGAAATTGTATCAATTCTGAAGGAGTTAGAATTTCTATTTATGAAGAATTCTTGTAGAAGGAAATCCTCTAAAGAGATGCTTTCATGTGCTTTTTTTTTTTTTTTTTGTACTGTTCAGGATATTTCATAGAAGGGAGATGGAAAGAGCTCTAGGCTGGCATGCAAGGTGCTCACATGTGTGAGCAGTGTGTGCGTTAGCAAATAATATGGCTCAAAAGGAGCGGATCAGTAGGTCAAAGCAGTTGGTGCTGAGACCGTAGCATCAGCAGCGGATTTGGATTGGGGTTTTCCATTGTATTATGTTTTACCAGGTCCCTAGATCCAAACATCTCTGCTGCCTGTGTGGTTTGGAGCTCTCCAAAGGACAATCTGTTATGTCCCCACTAGGAACTGAAGCGTAGCTAGTGGGTAGCTGTAGTGGCACGTGGTGTTTAGTCATCTTTTCAAGGAATCCAGTTCATGTGCACTGAAATTACTCTCTTAATTTAACCAGTGCTTAGTAAGTGGGACTGAGGGGTTGATTTGTTTCAAAATTGCACTGCTGCTCTGTGCCTAATTACTAAGGTAGAAAGGAACTGTCAATTCAATCTGCCAAAAGCAAGTATAGCAGAAACTGGTGGAAACAGGTGTGACCACTGGAATTTTGTCTGTGCTGGGACTAAGCTTAGCATAATGAAATTGGTCTTGGTAGGATTTTGGAGAGATACTTGCTGTGCTAGCTTTTTCCAAGATGTTCCATCTCTGTATCACTTAGTGTTACATGTTGTGGAGATGCTGTTTCCAGGTTTTTTTTTTTGTCTGGTATTTTTTTCCAGCATTACTGCAGCTCCACAGAATGGACAGTATTGACTTGTGCTGTTCCAGTGCTTACCTGGGTATGAAAGCTGTATTGGAGTTGCTGCATGAGCTGCAGTATCTCCTGGGTTCAACTGTGGATATGTGCTAATGTTTAAGTTTAATGTTTAATGAAGTGTCTCCATAACACAGAAGTGAATCTTCCCAACACTAGTAGCCTGAAGTGTGGTCAGTCCTGTAAATGCACAGACTGCTAAATGGAGCTTAAACATGCTAATTTAAATACATTTTGAGCTTCCTCTGAATAAAGGTTTGACACCCCTTCCCATTGTTTTTTTTTTCATGGTTCACAGTACTTTGGGATTGGTATTCAAGATGCTGAAGTACAGCATCTTTCTATAAAATTCTCATTGGTTCTTATTCTAGGCTAGAAGTGATTTTTACTTTACTGTCATGATTAAAAATATTTCTACTTTCAGTCTGTTGAGCCCTTAAAATACAAACAATGTTAATGTACCACAGGGTAAGAATCCTATAAGAAACAGCCAAAATTACACCTTCTTGGGCCTAAAACCCCCATCATGCTACTGTGTAATCTCAAACACGCCTGAGTGTTTGAGATATATATTGGATCTCCTGTTTTCTTTTTAAGTGATGAAAAGTCCAGGAACTCATTCACATTGAGTTTTTGTCTCTGCTGCCACTTGAAATCCATGAGCGCTGGTGAGAGTTTTGTTACTGATTTAAAATAGATCTGAGCAGAGTCTTTCCTTTAAGACTTGTGGTTTCACCATTCTGAATGATGGAATTGCACATTGTTTACAACAGAGAGGTAAGGAGATATTCAGCCTGATAGGCATGCCTGTCTGTCTTTGATTTAAGTTTTTTGATAAACTCTTTCACGTATCTAGCATCTTTTAAAAGTAATAAACAATAAACTTTTATAGACATAGCTAAGGTAAGTTAAGTCCCACAGGGTATAATCCAGGATTTTTAGTCCTCGTAATAACTGCCATGAAGCACCTCCAGTTTGCACTTACTCCTTTGGAAGCTGAGGACACTCACTTCTTATTTTCTCAGGAGAAGGATGTTTGTGTGTGAATATTATTAAAAGATAAAAGCTCTGTTCTTGAGCGCGTTATTAATATTCAACATAGTTGCTTGAGGTTATCCATCCTGTTCTTTCTTTAAAATGAAAACCATTTAACTTACAAAGTTGCTCTCCTGACACAGCCTCCTGAAGGCAGTGGAAATTGTGTGTGGTCACTAATACAAGACAGCGTGAGGGTTATGTCAGTGTAGTGCTGTACTGCCAATGTACCCCCCTGTCTTCTAGTAAAGCACCATTTTTCGACAAGCTAGGAACGGAAAAAGGCAAATATTTTGCTTTTATTTTAAAAATCACATTGCACAACCAAAAGCACAGTCCTGTGGTGCTTTTTTATGTCGGTTCTACAATTAAGTGTCATGAAAGCTATATTAAAGTTGTTGGGGAAAAAAAGCAGTTGTTAATTCTGTAAAAGAAGAGAAGGTGGCATTCTAAAGATGAGCATTATTCTGAGCTCAGGCATTAGTACACAGAGATTTGGCAAAAGTCTGAAGCAATCCAGGTAAATTTTCACTTCAAATTCATTTCATAGAATACATCAATTAAAAAAGGAATTGAAAATGACAAACTGGGAAACTGCCTTCCCTCTTCATTCATTAATTTATTAAATTAGTGCACTCTCATTAGTTTTCTATCATGAGAAGGCGGTTATTTCTGTGCTTCTTAGTACAGTTTTACTGCATGGTTAAAATTGCAGTGGCTCGCTACGAATCCCACCAAAATTATTAGATTCCTTTCTTTTCTTAAGAGGCTGACTACAAATCATGGTCCACAGTCACCCTGATATTGGTTATGCAGTTGGTCACAAGACTGTCAGTAATCAGAGTCACTGCAGTTACTACTTGGTGGTTTGCAGATGACTGCCTACACTGGGGAATAGTAGATGGAGCTTTTTCTAAGTGCAGTACACCTTCAGTGAAATGTTTGGCTTGCTAAATGGCTATGAAAATAGATGTTATCTTTTTAAAAAGAGAAAAGCCTAAGGGGAGAAACACAGAATCATCTTATTCTGAAGGACTGATTTTTTTTTTTTTTAAAGTGCATGTGGATTTTTTCCAGACTTAAAAAAAAAAAGGAAGAGGGGAAATCATAAATTAACAAATACTTTGTAGAAAAGACTGTGTATTTTTTTTTAAACATTTGTTCACTATAATGTCCTTGTGATACTCCTCTGCAGTAACTTTTGATCTTTTATTTTTAAATGCAAGAAGTTGAAATTAATTGTGTAAAATGCTACATAGCTGTGCATAGCTCAATTCATGCTCAGTTTTTCTAGAATTTTTTATTTTAAGGAATGTTTTTACATGTCAAATTTTCTGGTTTTAGTACCATACTTGTATCTTCCTCTGTTTCATCACCGTCTGCAGCCAAATGTGATTTATTTTCTTGGTGAGGGACTGTTTTTCACAGAGGGTCTTTTCTTTGGCAGTATATGCCTAAGGATTACCAGTAGAAAAGTGTATGTGAGGGACACAGCGTATTTTGTGAAGGGAAGCATCCTTTTTCCTGACTGTTTCTAGTTTTGTACTGTCTGAACTCTTTAAAGTGTCAGTAGCACTTCTTGAACAGCCTTGTCCATCAAGTTTTGTTGAAGCAGCTTTCTAGCTTCAGAGGCAAGATGCGTGGAGAATGTAGATAACACATCTATAAAAGCACAGAAAGGTGTCCCAGTGAGACTACATGCAAGAGAGAAATGTTATTTCTGAGCTTTAGCTCTTCTTTAGGTAAATCGGGCAGTGTTGCATGAAATGGGAAATTGTCAAACCTGAAATACAGGTTTATAATTTTGAATTCAGCTTTAAACTTTGCCTAGAATGGGCTGCTTCTTTCTTCTTCAGGACTGGTTATGAAGATTGTCACTTGAAGGTGACAAGGTGTGATGAAATTCAGAGGGGGCTTTTTAGAACAGGTATTCTACCTGTGCTTACTCTGAAGAGTAAAGGTAAAATTTCAGTCTTTCTATCCTAATGAGAAGGAAGAGGCCCATTCTCTCTCTTTTAAATTTATTTATTTTTTAAAGAGCTAAAGTAGGATTTAGAAGATGAAAACCTTTTTCATCTTCTCAAGTGGTACAAGGATACACAATGTAACAAACACATTTTGCATCCTGTTAGACCCATGAAGTTTTCGTTTCCTCTGTGGTACTGACCCAGCTTTTGCTCTGTACATGCGTGCTTTAAAAATGTTTCTTCCAAGCAATATTTAAGCTATTGGAGTTTTACAGACATTATTTCCTCTAATTCAGAGGAATCTGAATCTTGCTATGGCAAGAGTGGTCAGGCTCTGGAGTCCTGTAGTCGGTAAGGCTGTGCAAAGTATTGGACCCAGTTGCAAGAGAAATGGCTATTCAGTTCGTAGGGACTATAAGACATTCCAGTTTTCTTGCCAATGTGTTATTGTAGCAACAGGGTACCAGGACTTCCTTGGGAGGTGAGAACTGATCAAGATGATGAGCAGGTGGACTCTCCACTGCTCGTGGGATGCTGAGGGAAGTTGAATCTTGATGAGTTTTATCGGTTGCCATGAAGTCTCATATTTAAAGAAATCGGAAAGTAAAAATAAAGAATAAAAAGTCAGGAGAGAAGCAAACCCTACTTTTGATTTAAATAGATTAGCTCCCATGGCCAAATTGCCCAGGTCGGCCTATTTTTGTCCTAATTT